TTCTCATGTAATATATATTGATTGTAAATGGTATTGTAATATATATATGATGCACTACTGTAGCGTTGTAATCACTCAGTCTTTGCAGAGCAAAATTCTGACTAAAAGCAGTAGTTGGGAAAGCCATAGGCTAATAATATATAGAGTAGCTTCTTTTCAGCTTAAATTTTTTGAGGAGGAGTCGATGAGGTTAAATTTCAACTTTGTGAAATATAGACACTTATTTATATCAACAGGCTTTTTGAGCAGTGGTGAAATATCATGCCTAACTTGGGATTATCTGAACGAATGTCTTCATGGATGCCAGGATCCTTGAAAACAAGTAACATCCTTGAAAAAGGAATGTGCAAGAAACAATTGCCTTCCCGGTATTATATCATTGGTTCCTTGATAACTCATTGAGTGTGACTCCCCATTCCCAATCCAGGCTGAAGTGGGTCATTTTGATGCTTGACAATTCCTTTCTCCCTTTGTGAATTTCACACTCAACAGGAATCCAGAGTAAAAAATATGTGTGGTAAAGCCACACAAATATGTCGCATGAATTCTCCTGAGCCGGTGACAGGCCAAGCACATATTAATTATTATTTTATTCCCTTATTAAAGTTCATATGAACACTCTTCTTATTACACAAGGAAACATTTATATGAACTCACCTAGAAATAAGTATGTTAATGGCAGACATCTTTGAAACAGTTAAATTCAAAGACTCAAAATACGTAATACAGACTTTTATCATTTGAAAATATACTCAGTCCAAATTACATTAATTTTCTAACAAAGAATGGTCTAACAACTCAGTACTCTTTCTTCCAGTAATAAAATAACAAGGATGCCTCAAGCAGTAATATTGTTTGTATACCAAGCTTCACATTCTTTTCACAACTGTCATACAGTTCTTTCCAGTGGCTGCACAATTATCCTTAATAAAATGCAACAAAAACACTGGAAGACCTTAGAGGTCTTTTGTGATACATTTTGCTTTGAGCACCATCAACCAAAAAAATAGTCCAGAGCTAACATCCCCTCAGCGGATCTACACAATCTTATACTGCAATCCTTGAAGATCAATCATTCTGCTTAATTTAATCTTATTTTGAGTTTTGCCATTTCTGAAGGTATTTTGATGCATTCAGAAGAATAAAGCATTTTAACTTTCTAAAAGTGCACATTTCAATAAAACCAACCCCAAAGGATGTTGAGTTGTTTTCTTCAGAACATGAAGAAGACCATTGCACACAATAGTGAATGAAAGAAAATTGTTGCCCGGACCCCTGAATGTATTCAAATCCTGAGAAAGCTCTGCTGGACAATTGCACTCATTCTGAGACAGTGTTCAAGTTACAGTAGTAACGGACGACATGCCAAAAGTTGGATGCTGTGTGGAAATTCCAGGGTCTGAAGTCTGACAAAGCTAAAGTGTTCGGAGTTCAACTCACTATCTAAAATGACATCTTATAAAACATGGTCAAAACTAATGGGCCTTTTGTTAATCCCCCATATCTACTTTCTGGTGTCAAATTCAACAACCCATTTGCTGGAAATTTTAACTAACCTTTCAACATGTACTTTTACCTGTATGTAGAAAACACCTTTCAGTAGGAAAACCGTCAGTGCAAACATCACCGGCACCTGCATGGCAGGAATTCGTACAAGAATCACCACAGCCACTGCAGCAATGGCCAGACTGAACAGGGCATGGAAAAGGAACATCAGCTTCCAAGCTCTACAAGTCACTGGTTATCTCCATTTGCTGTATGGGTGTGAGACATGGACACTACTGGCAGACACAGGATCCAGACCTTTGAAACCAGATGCCTGAGAAAGCTACCTGAAAGAACATAAAACCAGTGACTACATGTATGTAAGAAACTTAGTCAGTACGCTTGTGGGCCACCTAGAACCCCTACTGGCAACTGTCAGACATCAAACACTGGCTTGATTTGGCCATGTCACCAGGCACAACACCCTCTCCAAAACCATCCTACAAGGAGGAGGATGGAAACATAGGCGCCAAGGGAAGAGCTGGTCCGACAACATCAGGGACTAGACGGAGAATACCCTTACAGACCTGCTCTCGATAGCTGCTAACAGAACCGCTTGGAGGACGTCTACTTCTTCTGTCCTCAGATCCCCCAATGACACATAGTGTCGAGGGCTTGAGGTGAGATGAGGAGAAAATACCGCTCACAAAATAAACACTAAAGTGATATGTGGAATTGAGGCTGTGAAAAAGCATTTTATCCCAAACAAATTCCTAAATACTGCATAACTTTTGGAAGATACAAATTTAATTGTTGGGGGGGTCCCCCAAGCTTTTTTTATTTCAGTGATGAAAAACAATACGTAGCGAAATATGTCCTTTAGTTTTTAAAACAGTTTTTACTGTAACAGTTGGCCCTGCAAAAACAATAAGGAGGATTACAACAAGGTATGACAGGTGAACCCATGTATTCATCATTGAAGAGTGGCAACCCGTGGACCATTCCAGCCTGGTGCTCAGAGACCAAACGATCCACCTCGTCCAAAATCTCCACGTGCTCTTCCACCGGCAATGGGTAGGCCTCCTCAGGGTCTTCGTCCAAATCAAACAAGAGAGGGGGATCGTGGGTCGTCACGCAGGCACCGTAGCAAACTCCGCAGTGAAGGGTTCCCATGTAGTCAGGTATGCCGCTCAGCCTACACAATGCTGACAGCGCCTCGTCTGTGAGGACCTCCTGTGTGTGGTAATGCACTTTGTATCGCCCA